TATTATTTTAGTAAAAGTGATTATACATTTTTCCTTGGGAAAAATCTACTTGATATATAATTGTATATATTGTATAATTGTTTCTTTTGAATGAATACTTTTGTTTGGACCTTTAAAATTTTCTAACTTTGTAATTCACTGGATGCCCAATGGAGTCCAAAAGAAAAAGCACAACAATAACAACTAGCCTCCATTATTAAGCTATTATCATCGCCTATCAAACACTACAATAGTCAGTTGTTTTTCTAATTTGTATGCTACATTTAAATTCAAGCTTTTGAATATAACTTGGCTATAATATCTACAACAATGGCGAGTGGATGACATCAAAATAGCCGTTGCGTGTGGACGTGCCCTTCACACATGCGGGAGCACAGGTGAACGACCTGCATGGTGAAGGCATAATTCTATAAATGTGGGGATGGTGTTTATGGGAAATGCACAGCCAAGGTGCTGCATGTTTCCCAAAGTGTGTTGGAGCAACATGTTGCAGAAATAATCACAAAATCACTGCATTTTATGTGATTGACAAGTCGTTACCATGATGACCTGTCAATCAGGCTAGAGTGGCTCCCATGGCACTGTGTAAATTTAACCAGCGCCATTGAAAAAGAGTATTAGGAGTTGGCTGTTCACTTTCTCTGGTGAGTACATTTAGTTTTAAGTCTGTTGTTCGCTAGACAAAATGATATGCTGATATGCACCTAGCTAAGCAAACTAGCTAGCTCCACACGGAGCCATTGGCTCCACCGTCTTTCTCTGCAAAACTAAGCAAGTAAATTAAGGGGTTTACATCAGACATTGAAACCCCCTGTTCTTATGTATTAAATTATGTGTTTGTGTTTTGTGCGTGTGGCTTTGAACTATGGGCCGTGTGTTTTTTGAATATTTAAGCTGTCACTGTCACTAAAGAGTCTTTAATAAACAACGCATTTCATTCATTAATGTCTCACATAAGTTAATGTTTATTGATCAGTAAAATAGTCAAAAATTGAATGCATAGCCCTGTAATAAGTAATTGCAATTGCTAAACTGAGTAAGAAAACCCTGTAAATAATTGATAAATAGCCATAAGTAAGTCAAGTACTTGATATTACCAAGCATTATAAGTTTTGTCACTATACACACTGCCTTTGAGTTCAAGCCTCATTTGGAGTTATTTCTTCGAAGTGGCTAAATCATAAAAAAAATATTCAGTCACTACTATTTATTAATAATAATAATAATAATAATAGTAATGATGATCAGAAGACGAAGTGAACAGCAAAGTAGGATTCACATTTCTTTATTCAAAATAGCGATTTCTATTTCATAATGAAGCCTTTGCCACAACTGGGATTTGAACCAGATAATCATCCTTAAATATTCAAAAGAAAACTCAGCAGGATAAGGTTCAGCACCTTGGACAGCGGACTAAAATTTCAGCAGCAGATCTGCCAAAGTAGAAGCAAATAACGATTAAGATAAGATTGCGCTTTATTGATCCCTAGGTTCAGGCACCACAGCAGTAATTACAGGGAGTACAGAAATGTATAGTAGGGAACAGCAAGATATAACCAGCAAAATAAAACAGGTAATCATGGATCATATAAAAATGTTTTTTAAAAACTGTACAAGATAAAATAAAATACAAGACTTTAGTAAAGTGTCAAGATGTCTCTCTACAGAATCAGCTGTGTATCTAAAGTCCAGCTTGTACTGTGACCAGTGAGCCCCCCTGGATACACCGCGGCAGAACGCTGATCCAAAACTGTTCTCTGTCCAAGTGGTCCTTCACTGTGACGTTCAGGTGAAACATCCGTCTGCAGGGAGGAGGACAAGTCAGTGTGACAGAAAAACAGTGGAGCTTGTGTTAACCTTGACACTGCACTGCTTCATAAGTCTAATCCTGTATTAAATCAGGCCTATTACATTTTAAGACTAGAGTGTATTGGGTATGGGGTTGCCTGTGTCTTAAACAGAAACACTGTTGTGGTGCAAGCACGTAAGACTTCTGCTCGCCTTTATACTTGTGTACACAGTGAAGTGACCAATAAATATGATTTGATTTAGCACATTACCATGTGTCCCTGTTGCTGTGTACTCAGGTCTAATTCAATACTTGGAGGTTACGATGGCGCTCAGATGGCAACAAATTTGCAAGCTTTTCTAAATCAGGGGGAGGGTTATATATTGTATTAATATACTAAATTATGGCCTAATTTAAATGGGTAAACAGTCCCCTCTGTGGTTCCTTCCTCCTGTTTGACTTCAGGTGAGTAGCAACACGATGGTGAACTACAGTGTTAGCTGTGGTTGTTTAATCTTTCCACAGAAGACCGACAATGTTATGTTAGTGACCCAATGCAGAAGATCAGCTGACAATCATCAAACATAAACATTAATGGTCAGTTCAATGTAGGAGAAAACTTATACATAAGGGACAACACCACAAATAGTTTGGCTAAAGAATAACCTATAATAGTCTGCGTAACTTACAGTAGAAATATATTGCATGTGCTGTAACGTTAGTTAATGTTAATCCATTTTGGCATATATCCATGGGTCTGTCTGCTTAAAATGGTTAAGTTACATTTGTCCAGTTAGCTGGTCTTTACTGTTAGCCAGCTCTCCTGGCAGACCCGATTTGTTAAACATATGAATTTGTGCTTTGTCAGGTCTGTCTGCAAGATGACAAGCAAATAACTTTTAAAATGCTTGTTTTCTAAATGGAGTTTTGAATGGATCAGGGCTATGCTATGCCAACTGTTTCATAGTAAAGTACAGTGATAGCTGGAATCAAGTAACAGACACATATTTTCTGAACTTACCAGGTAGTTCAACTTCTTCGCTTGCTTTTCTCCAAGCACTCTCCTGTTTTGACAGTGGAGGTCGCAAAACTCAATGGCTTGCTGCTGCAGACAAGTTGGGAAGCGCGAGTGAAGATAAATCTAGTTTTTAAATCCCAAAAAATTCAATCAAAAAGTTAATTTAATAAAAACATTAACTCTGAGATCCTCCTGCTGGTAAACAGCTCCAATTCAAAGCAGAATCATAAAATGCATAAAATATTCTGCACCGGTTTGCTACAGTTTCCAGATTGTCGTCGAGCAGAGGCTCTGTCTCTCAGCTCTGCCTGGTCCTCTAAACACAACACTTTAAGTTCAAAGCGCAGTGATGCACACAAATGTTTCGCTCCAGTTGAATACTTTCAACAACGCAGATTTTACATGTTCGCACCATTTGCAACAACTGACAAATGTGCTTTGCGGTCTATGCCAGACCGGCTACCAAAACAAAGAACAGAGAAGATCGGATGACAACAAACACAGAGAGGGTGTGACGTCAATCTCTGCTCTGCTTATTTAGGTTTATGTTCATTGTTCAGCACCAAGTCACCAAAGCAAATTCTATATCTTTACATAGCAAATAGCTGTTTGCTGCTTTATTAATGTTCAGAACTTGTAAGCTTTCAGTTTGACATTTTCCATTGAAGCTTAATATTTTTGTCATCAATTTACATTTCAAATTTCCTTTTTCAATGTCCCTGTTTAATTATCACCTGCTTATTCTTGGTAGTGTAGTAAAATAATAATCTTTTAAAGTGAATCTTAATTAATAATTTTCTATTTGGACTTTGGAAGTTGTCCTAAACCAAAAACATACTCCATAAAAAGCGTGTTGTTGTGCGTTTTAAAAATGCATTAAAATTCATTCAAAAATGTATGTCATTGAGTCTACACTGCAGGACAAAGGCAAAGTGTAGTAAATTATGAATCAGACGCAAGCAGTATTTAATCAGTAATCAGGTTTTTCCTGCATAGAGAATTACAAGGCGTTTATAAATGCTGTTGCAAATGGCGCTTGTGAACACTGCTCTGTGCACCTCTACATGTGTGACTGAACGCCGTCCTGGACAGCGACTACAAAGCCAGTGTGCTTTTGTTAACATTGGAGAAATGTAAGGAAATAAAGTTTACATTTTTTAATGATACTTTTCTCCCGATTTGTCACATACAAACGTTCAAACCGACATTTTCTGTACCTACATCCGAAACATGACTTCCACAAACAGCAAATACGTTTAAATTAGTAATGATTTGTTTTTTAATTCATGTCATTTAAAAAAACAGGACGAGATCTCCATGTTTGAGCTTCACCACGTCATGTGACTTGCTTCAGTAGGAACAAATATTACTGGAACCACTAGAGTAAATTGCAGATCAACATTTAATATCCAGAAATTCACATCAGCTACACTGCAAGAGGACCCTGAATAAGAAATAAAAACAGCTAATGTTATATTTGATTTTAATATCTTGCTGTGTAAATGAACACATTTGCTTTAATGTTGTAGGCACTTTTTTTTTTTTAATATGGACTAACGCGAAAATCATAATCATTTTCTTTAATTATATCATTATTAAAATATGTTGCTGGCACGTGATCAGGATGGTACCAACTCGGCCTTATTTTAAGCCAGGGAAAAAACCTGGTAATTACCAAACCCTGCAGGGAATTCTTGGGACTGAAACGAAACCAAAGCCAACTCTTACGGTGAAAAACAAAACAGCAAATAAAACTACAGTAAAACACAACTCATGGCAGTGGGCCTTTTGTCTGGGCTGCATCCTGGGACTCCAAAGTCCAATGCAAGGCTGTAAATCAGGTGTCAAGTATGTCAGTGTGCATCTAACCTGTGGTCAAAAGCTCTAACTACAACAGGAGCTGAATGAGAAAAGATCTAAATCAGCGCTCAGGGGCGATGCCTTCAGAGACCTGGGACACAAACCACAACAACTTGTTCTCTGTTAGCATCTCTGGTCTGACATTTACTCAGTATGTGTGTGTGTGTGTGTGTGTGTGTGTGTGTGTGTGTGTGTGTGTGTGCGTGCTAGGTGAGCAAACAGCAGCACGTTTTGCTAAAGCACCCACTGACACAGAAGAGGTGTGAAAAACTTGTCTTTGCATGCAGGTGTGCTTTCAGGTGCACATCGGGCTCCCCTGCATGTGGCTCCTACCTGCTGTGCTGGGGCTGCGGAGGCAGGTCTGAGGCGCCAGGCCTGTGTGAACCGAGGTGGTGGCGCGGCTGCTGAGGTCCACCACAGAGGGTGTGGGCGGCGCAGACGGCGGGGACTGCTGCTGCGACGGCGCTGCCTGTGTGGCCTGGCTGCTCTGGGCTGCGCTGACGGGGATGCCGTTCTCGGACAGGAACTCTTCCAAGTCCATGTACTCCAGCTGGAAGTTGTCCCCATCGTAGGGCAGGGTCTTGTCCCAAAGGGTCGGGCCAAGGAAGGCCGACTGTGGGTGGTTGGCTGTGCTGCTCTCATCGTCCAGCTTCTTCTCTTTCTCCTTGTCTTTCCCAAGTCCTGCAAATGTTTGCACACAATCATTTCACTGTCTTTCAGGATCACGGGTCAATGCATGGGTATAAATAGAACGCATGCTTGGGGCTTCATCATAAAAAGGGTCAGTTCAACCAATTTACCAAAGGAAAAAATATTTTCGTTTTCACCCACAGGATAAGCTGTTGGCGTCATTGTTTGCAAAGGCATGTAGCTGCGTCATCTTTCAATGTGGTGAGCTCTACCGACTCGATTCATTCCTGCACGGGACTGTGGCGGTCACAGAAGTTTGAACTGGACAAACAAAACCAAAAACTATCTGCATGAATTTGGGTGAACTGACCCTTTAAGAGTACAAACTAGGTCTCCATTCATGTTCAGATAACGTGATGTCACTCAGTCCGTGATACAAACAGAGGGTGTACTGCAAGAGAGCACAAAAGACGCCCTCTATCGACAGCTCGTGGTATCACTAATATAAATCCCATCGAAAACAAGAGGGTTTAAAGATTATAAACTCACCTGCAGGCTAAAAACAGCGCAGGTGTTGTCAGAACCATGCTGTACTATGTTACTTTAGATAATAAGTATAAGCTAAAATAGCTTGTTGGCTCGAGGTCAAGTTCACGTGAACCTGTCACTCAATTAACATTAAGACCAGAAGACAACATGCAATTTTATTTATCTTTGTCGCCGCTCAACTAACACAAATACACAGTTTCTTTTTCCGACAAAGCCCATCTAATAATAAGAAACGTCACTCTGATCGGATTTATTTAACCTGTGTCCATCACTGCGAGATCTGTCAAAACCGTGGATGTCTAACGTTACAGAATGATAATAGCATCAATAGAGAAACATCACAGAGACGCGCCGAGTCTGTGTACGTGCAAGTCAAGTTTTAAAACGTACCTTCATCGTGATGGAAAGGCAGCTTCAGCGGGTTTTCCAGCAGGGATTTCAGCACGCCGTGAGTCGGCGGCAGGAAAGTTGGGTTTATAGGAACAGGTCTGGCCATTTTTTCCATATGTCTTGAAGGGCTATTTGAGAATTAAGCTTGCAAACACACGACTGGATCTCCCCCCCCTTAAAAAAAAAAAAGAAGGAGAAGCGACCGAACTCGCTCGCCGGGCCCGTGCAGATCCTCGCAGACGGGGGAAAACGACGCCGGAGCTCGGAGGGAGAAGACGGAGCTCCGCGCTGCAGCAGGACGGTGAGCGGCTGGCTGGCTGTCTGTCGTCGAGGCTGCCTGGCAAATAGCTGGAGGAGGAGGGCGGGGGGACCGGAGCTCTGACGGAGCCTCTACACTTCTCCATCCATGTGCGGAGACGGACGCCGGTGACGTCAAACCACCAGGAGGGCGGAGACGCTTCTCGCGGCGCGTTCAGGTCGCGTGGGTAAAAACCCCTTCATAGTGCCGGAAAATGTTGCGGAAAAAAGGACTGTCCGAAATATTGCAATAATCTCAGGAGAGCTGATAAAGTATAGACAAAATATTTGGCCCATCATGTAATAATACTTTTATGTTTCGTGTAGATTTGTTCTGAAATAAAACATTAAACAATTTTTTTATATACCTCCAACTCAATTATTTTATATTAATTCATCTTCAGCACTAGTTTATTTCTGTTTACCCTTTTTTAAATAATTGATTCTGTATTAATTTAATATTGTCTGCTATGTAGCAGGAGGGAGTTACAAAACACAATTTCACTCTATAACATGTTATATTGTGACAATAAACCTACCTAAATAGCGTTAAACACAAACAACATGGTATGCAGAAACTGAAGCATGACACATAATAGCATTTGCAATAAACAATTTATTGAAGTCACCACTGTCAGACAGTTAAACCAGTGTTTTCATCAAGAACAAATAACAAATAAAGATCAACTCTGGTCAAATATAAGAACAATGCTTATGTGGGTTCTTACCTACACACCAAAGCTGGAGAACCAACAGGCCACAGCAGGCAACATTTTGAGGTTTTATGGCATGTTTCCAACCTTAAACTGACCAAGCACTTTACGCGTCCTTCCCCTTAATACACCATCACATACATACATACATACAGCCTGTTGTAAACTGCTGTCGTAGTCTGTTACCAGCGTCTTTACTGTATCAGTTGCTCCCATTTTGTTTGTTTTTTTGCTATTGCAGCACAGCAAGTTATTTATGCAAAATTGGAAATTTGTTATGGACAGGCCTATTAACAGACTTAACAAGTACGTTTTATAGTGTTTAGTTATTTTTTTTAACCCAACCAAACCAAACGTTTCCTAAAATTATGACTGTGGGCAAATTTATCTGAAAACACATAAATCTTTTGTCATCAGACTGCCAATGAAAACTGAGCGAAGGCAACTTTCTCAGTTTGTGTTTGAGTGCTATTTAAAAATACCATTGTTGCCAACTTAAATGTATGTATTGGTCTTTCATCTAGTTTTAAGCCTGCTCTCAGATCAAAACAGCTCTGAATATTAACTAGAAATAATAGAAACAAAATAGAAAACACATATAACACAAAAACAATAGTTACAACCAGCCATTTAAAAGGTTTTTATAGGTGTAAGAGTACATTTGTGTGACACATTTGCTTCCAACTAAAACTGATTTGGATGCAAACTATGCTCTTACAGATTAAATCCCTGACTGGTACCGTTTCTTCTCTCTGACGAGATGTGTTTTTAAATAAGCATAAACTCTTTAAATTTCCATGTTGAGTGGTTATGTACTTCACACAGTGTTTAGGTCTTTGTTACAATCATGACAAAACAAGCTTCTCAGTGCTGCTGTATTCAACTGTAAATCTGAGAAATGAGGACAGAATCCAATGTAGTGGCACAGTGAAGAATGACGTGAATCTAAACTTGACCTACTTTCAGCCAGTGGGTGTTGTCAGACTGCAATTCTATCTGCGCTAATGTAGTAGTGGCTGAGTCATAGTTTAAAATCCTCGCTCCACTCTGCCCATTTGTTTGTTTTTAAGGATCAGTTAGTCTGTATCACCAGCACAAGTTGGTTTCCACGAAAAATTCCCCCAAAACAGAGAAGAATGACAAGCTGAAGAAAAGCTAATTGTATTAAAAGATATATGACATGTCTTATGAAAGCAGCTGATTGTGCAGACATGGATTAGGACCAGGGACAAATCCCTTTATCTGAAACTGTCCTCATGCCTATAAAAATGTCACGCCATATCAAACCAAAGATTTCATGCCATCAAAGCAAGTTTTCTTTTTTCTTTTTTTTTTTACATCATAGAAGGTTTAAGTTCAAAGCACTGCTGAATGAAAATGTCCTCTTGTCCCCTGAAATTCAACCAGGTCTGACGCTGTTGCTATATTCAGAATTTGAATCTTGAATCTTAACGAGACTCTCCAGGGGCTCCATGTGTACGTGCTAAACTGTTGGATCGTTCATACGGTCTCTTATTGGACGAGGATGTTCCTGCTGCCCTGAAGTTAGTTTTTATTTTAGGTCAAAACTTTGGACCATCAAACACGGTATTTAAAAGACACTGCTGTATATTACTTTTCTTCTAGTCACAAATAAAAAACTAAAAACATCAGTCACAACATTGTATATATTGTCTACTAAACACTCCCAGGATTTCTCCAAGTAACCAACTATCCTGTGTGAAAACGTGTGTTGAACACCGGTGTACTATCCCTGCATTACTTTGATGCTGAAGAGAACCTAGAAACGTGGCTAAGGCTAAAGGTCGGGGTCCATATATTGATGGGTCACTTGGACACGTAAATAGTTGAATTTTAGAGCATTCTTCAGTCTGTCTGTGCAAGAATAGTACGTGTTTTTAACTGTGAGAAAACTCTGTAGAAGGAAACGTATGACGCAGAAGCTGAACAAAACATGTGTTGTATCAAAAGTGGTCAGCTGAACAGAGCATCATGCCCCTGAATCACTGCTGGAGTTAGTCAAGGACACATAAAAAGATAAATTCAAAGAACTTCAGCCCTATGAAAATGTGATTTCCAACTGTGACAGTGGACTACAAAGACTTGTGTGTGGAAGCAGAGGAGATTACACAGTTTAACAGAGGCTAGCTGCCCTTCAGTGTCAGTGCTAGGCATTAAGATTTCCATAAAATATTTGTTTTGTTATGATGTTTGTGTTACAATTTATATGTGGCTAAATCATTTTAAAATGACATAAGAAACTTACAAAAGAGAATGTCCTTGCATGATGGCTCTGGATATTAATGTATGTTTGCATTCAATGCTTAAGAAGAAAGGTAATGAGGACGTGACATTTACTGGATGTTTTGCACTGTATGTTTTCTTTAAGTGTGTGAACATCTGCAAAATGATCTGCAGCTCAAACGTTTCCCCCTCAACATTATCAGAGCTTGTGGAAAAAGTTAACAGAAGCTATGGGGACGTTCTCCCTCTGATCTCGGATGGCTGGTGTCTGTGTTTTAAGAAAAATAGAAACCAACAGGAATAACACATACAATGCTAGCCAATACTGAGAAGTGTGCGGTTGCTCTTCCATCATTACATTGTTCACTTGAGGCACACACCCACCATTGTTTTGTTCTACAATTCTTCTGAAGTATGTCTGATGTATTGACTGAATTACCTGGAGGCTTCTAGCCTAACCTTACAGGAACTATGTTTTTACCAAATAAATTCTCAATGAAAGCTGTTGACAGTGACGTTTTGTCATATCCAGAGCAACTCGGATGGTATTGTTGAATTGATGCTGAGTCTTTCAAATGTAGTATGGGACAATATTCTGTTCACCTCCATTGTGTTGGGGCATATGTACAACTTTTAGGAGTCGGATATTGCAAACCTGAAAAACTAAACTACCTGCATGGCTATGTACTATAACGGTCGCAAAATAGGTTTGTTTGTTATTTTGGTGAATAACCCTTTATACCCCAACATAACCTAAAATAAATGGCTATCCTTGTGGGGACCAAATGTTAAGTGCTGATGGGAGGTGAGATTTGCTTTTGTCAAAGGGATGGAAGGATTCCAGGTTCAAGGTTCATTTATTTATTGTTATACAACACAGGGCTCTACAATGAAATGCAAGCTGGCCCTTCATATCTATATACTCAAACACCCCCACCCCCCAGAAAACTTATTTATGATGCAGTGGAGGATGAATTGAGGAGTTTTACATCCTGGGGGAAGAAGCTTCTCTGTAGTCTGGTGGCACGACAACAGATACTTCTGTATCTTTTGCCAGACGGCAGTAGGATGAACTGGCTGAAGCTGGGTGGGTTCTGTTCTTTAGCATTCTTTAGGATCTGCAGGCACCTCACCGATATCACTGATGCTCAGTGGATGGGTACCAATGACCTTCTGAGCGGTTTTAATCACCCGCTGCAGTGCCCTCCTGCTCCATGTTTCCATACATACATAAGAACTTAACACTGGAATTTTGCCTTTTCCTTAAGAAACAGTCGTACTTGGAGATTTGAGATGACCATGTCCGGTTCTCCTTAATGCTGAGTCCCAGGAAGCTAAAACCGTTCAACTGCTCTACCTAGGCTCCACTGATGTAGACAGAAATGTATGTTTCCTTATTACTAAAATCATTAATCTGCAGCTTGTTCCCTGAGCACCACTCTGCAAGATTATTTCCTCCCGATATAATGTCTCATCGTTATCGATGATGGTAGTGTCATCTGCAAACATCACCACAGAGTTCTCTCCTCGTCAGGGGTTGTAGTCGTGGGTGTACAGCGTGAACTAGAGGGGCTAAGCATACAACCATGGGTGGCTCTGGTGTTGAGCACTTGAGTATAAAAGGTGTGACTGCCAATCCTAAATGTCTGTGGTCTGTTTGTGAGGAAGTCCAATCTACAGTTGCAGAGTGTTGTACTCAAGCCCAGAGTGCTATGTTCAGTTTCATGGGGAGATTGTGTTGAATGCTGAGCTGAAATGAACAAACAGCATTCTGATGTAGGTGTTGTTATTTTCAAGATGTGTGAGGGCTGAGTGGAGATGGCATCCTCTGTGGATCTGTTGGTTCTTAAAAGCAAACTGGTGCTGGTCCAGGCTGTATGGGATGTTGTTCTTTATGTGCTGGAGAGCAAGTTTCTCAAAGCACTTCAACAGAATGGGGGTGAGGACCACAGGGCGGTAGCCGTTCAGACTACACACTGCAGAATATTTAGTTACAGAAAGATGGTTGCTGCCTCAGCTGTTTGGTTGGCATGGAAGCCTGTACACGCATGACTCTCTGTGCTAATGTGTGTCTCTTCCTGAACATACAGTTAACATTACCCGACACAATGATGTTTGTACTGACAGAATGAATTTCTGATAGGGTAAATTAT